AGAAATTGAGAGGTACTACAAAGAGGAATGGGCAAAAATTCCAAAAGACAAGTGTGCCAAGCTTGTGGCATCATATTCAAAAAGACTGTAATTGCTGCCAAAGGTGCATCAACAAAGTATTGAGCAAACACTGTGAATACTTATTTGCATGTGATTTTTCAGGTTTTTATTTTTAATAAATTTGTAAAAATTTCAAAAAACCTTTTTACACATTGTCGTTATGGGGTATGCTACTTATTGTTATCACTTTGGAATGCATTTACATAGTAGATACTTTGTAATGTAAATAGAATAAAAACAGCAATGCTTGAATGGGAAATGTACCTGAGCCAAAGATAAACTGATATCTCTCTATATGTTTATGAAAATGGGATTTAATTAATTATTGTGTTTTTAATATATGATTTTTTAACATCATGTCAAAATGTTTTAAGCCAAAATGGGGTTACACTTTAGACTTTATTTCAAACGTATAATTAAAAAAAATAAAATAACTACAATTATATTCCTAAACAAAGCAAAATATCATAATATAATACAAATCCATATTTAACATATACTTGTTTGAGAAATAGAAGAAAAAATCATATGGTTATTTAATCGTACCTCTTCTCCACCCAACATTAATAATAAATTTCAATCCATTAGGTAAATGCCCATGGCCATAATCCTTAGCAATAATCATCAAACTAACTTTACGATTCTATCATCTCATTATTAACCTATAAGCACTTTTCTTACATAACTAAACAAAGTAAAAGAACACCAATCAAACTTGTTCTTTTTGTGTATACATTCTGAAAACCATATGTTAACCATAGGTTACAGTGTCTGACATTTCAGAACTTTGTTAAGAGACAGAAACTTTAGCAGCAATACATTTTCTTGTACATCTACACTCACCTGCCACTTTATTAGGACCTTACTAATACAGGGTTGGACCCCCTTTTGCCTTCAGAACTGCCTTAATTATTTGTGGCATAGATTCAACAAGGTTCTGGAAATATTCCTCAGAGATTTTGGTCCATATTGACTTGATAGCATCACACAGTCCATGATGACATCCATGATGCCAATCTCCTTTTCCACCACATCCCAAATGTGCTCTTTTGGATTGAGTTCTGTTGACTTTGGAGACCATTTGAATTCAGTGAACTCATTGTCATATTCAAGAAACTTGTCTGAGATGATTCAAGCTTAACGACATGGCGTGTTATCCTGCTCAAAGTACTCATCTGAAGATGGGAACACTGTGGTCATAAAGGGATGAAAATGGTACGCAACAATACTCAGGTAGGCTGTGGCGTTGACACGATGCTCAATTGGCACTAATGGGCCAAAAGTGTGCCAAGAAAATATCCCCCACACTATCACACCACCACCACCAGCCTGAACCTTTGATATAAGGCTGGATGGATCCATGCTTTTATGTTGTTGATGCCAAATTCTGACCCTACCATATAAATGTCTCAGCAGAAAGGGAGACTCATCAGACCACACAAAGTTTTTCCAATCTTTTATTGTCAAATGTTGGTGAGCCTGTGCAAATTGTAGCCTCCATTTTCTGTTCTTAGCTGACAGGAGTGGCACCCTGTGTGGTCTTCTGTTGCTGTAGCCCATCTGCATTAAGGTTGGACGTGTTGTGTGTTCAGTAGGGATGTAACGGTATTGTAAATACCGTCCTACCGCAATATTAATTTTTTTGGATATTACCGTAGTCGCATGACTCGGTAAAACTATAGGTCTTCTGAGAAAATTTGCTCAGGCGAATGAAGCGAACGGGAGGTACCGGAAACTACAATTCCCATCAGCCCAGGCTTGGCCATAATCCCTTGCGGTCTGTTGTCGCTACAGATCCAGTAATGCGGAAATGGAGTGTGCTGCTAGAAGCGGGGATCAAAAAGAGCTGGAAAACCCTAAAGCGGGTGTTGTCGCCGCGCGGATACTGAATAGTGGTGTTGTCACGCGAGTTCTTATCAGCTGTGTTGTCGCGCGCGTACTGAATAGCGGTGTTGTCGCGCGCGCGTACTGAATAGCGGTGTTGTCTCGCGCGCGCGTACTGAATAGCGGTGTTGTCGCGCGAGTTCTTATCAGCTGTGTTGTCGCGCACGTACTGTAAAGCAGGGACGGAGGGTATGTCGCGTCGCGGGGGCACTTTTGATCATTTTGGAAGGGAACTTTCTATCCAAGACTAAAAAGGGCATGTGCACTGCACAGGTTGAGCCCTGTGTGCACGTGCCTGCAAGTTAGGGAATACGACTAATAATCAGTCATGGGGACTGCAGAAACACAGCACACTGTTCAGATTGATGCAGACATGAGATCTCTATCTCACTCATGGTTTGTCCTCAAAAGTCGGGGAAAGACAATGCACAACGTTACACACTGCTGTCAACCTGGGCCAAGTTATATCTCTCTTGTCCCAGAAACCTCAGTCCCAAATGAGAGGGTTTTTTTCTGTTGCAGGGGACATTGTAAATACCCAGAGATACCAGCTTTTACCAGATTATATTTATATGAAAATTTTCCTTTAAACCCATCTCTATCTAAGTGAGTGAGTGATTAAATGTTGAATGTGATGAGTTTTCAACACTACTAAATTGAAACTTAATTTTTTTACATGGTTTAATATTTTTTTGTTATTAAAATTGAAGTTTCTGTTTCAAAGCTTACAGATAGATGACTAATTTGTATGTCATTGACACTTTTGCCACTTTTTTGGAGTATTTTCATAAGTTTTGTTTTTTCCTGTAAATGATTCAATAAATACCGTACCGTGACATTCATACCGAGGTATTACCGTACCGTGAAATTCTGATACCGTTACATCCCTAGTGTTTAGAGATGCTCCTCTGCATACCTTGGTTGTAACGAGTGGTTATTTGAGTTCCTGTTGCCTTTCTATCAGCTGAAACAAGTGTTGCCATTATCCTCTGACATCAAAAAGGCATTTACACCCACAGAACTACTGCTCGCTGGATATTTTCTTCTTTTCAGACCATTCTCTGTAAACACTAGAAAAATCCCAGTAGATCAGTTTCTGAAATACTCAGACCAGCTTGTCTGGCACCAACAACCATGCCATGTTCAAAGTCACTTAAATCCCCTTTCCTCCCTATTCTGATGCTCTGTTTAAACTGCAGCAGATCGTCTTGACCATGTCTACATGCCGAACTGCTTTGAGTTTCTGCCATGTGATTGGCTGATTAGAAATTTGGATTAACGAGCAGTTGGATAGGTGTACCTAATAATAAGTGGCTGGTGAGTGTATATGTATCTGTTTTTGTGAAACACATGTAACGAATATGGCCGACCAGACACATAAATATTTTGCATTTTATTCCACCACCAGCCAACTTTGCTCAGAGAAGACTCGAAACCTGATTCCAAGGTATTTACGACCCAAAGAAATGTGCAATGCGGCATTAAACACAGGAATGACTTACAAAGGACTATTTAAACTGCTTGTTTAACACTTATGTTTTCATATAAACTTTACTCTCTTTATGTTTAATCATATGTTTTGCAAAGTTTCCCTTTCTCTTGTATTAATATTTTTGGGTTTTAATACCCCTGCATATAATGTTTAACTGTACCTAAGCTAAACATCCTCTTATACTGTTCAAGTTTGGACTTTTTGAAAAGCTTACTCGTTGTACAAATTGATCGTTGACATTTTATTTTAATATGAGTGCAAAATATTAACGTTTTAAGAGACTTTAACATTTCTGTCCCGATTTGCATAAAATTTGCTTATGCAAATTCTTCTGCCTCAGACAAAGAGCTGTAAATTACTATTCAAGGAAGTTAGCTTCCAATTGGTCAACTTTTCATGGAGGGTGGATCCAAACCCGCCCTATAAAAGTTGCAGACCAAGCTAAACTTCCTCTCTCGCTCTCTTCAAAAACTACTCTCTGCTCTGAAACACGCTGCCTGGGAGCTCCTCCCTCTCTCTCCCGGCTCCAAGGGCCTCTGTTTTTGAAACTGTCTTGAAAACTCTCTACCACTTCCTCACAAACCTAAGTATTGAAACCTTCAAGAAAGCAGGTGGAAACCCAGACGAAAAGGGTTAATCGCACCGCGCTCGGACATTTCACTGTTCAGAAACTTTTGCGGCTCCACTTCAAACACAACAACCCTTGGGAGAACAAAGGATCAGCCAACCAACCACGTGCTCAACAACGGGAGCTCGGACATCACAAACAGACCGCAAGTATCACCTTTCTCCCAACGTCTAAACTGTTGTGAACTAAATCAACCCTAAAGAGACAATAGAAGGGTTATATTTAATTTGATTACGTTTGGTTTGCTTGGTTTGTGCTTACAAACTCAGAGGTTTTCCCATCATTACACCTTCTCAACCTCTTACCTCACGTTACTCTTCCCTATGCTTGTATGAATGTGTGTTTGTGTTAGGTGTTAGTTTCTGTTAGATTAGTCAATAAAGTTTAATTTTGTATAAAGAAAGGTGCCTGTGTATATTAATGAATCTAATGTCTTAAACTTTGATCTTGCTACCCTGCTCAACTTTGTTGATAGCATCGCTGAACGATTCGATTGTTCGAATCAAAAGAGTCGATTCATTTGAAGCCCCGTTCAAATTAACCTTCCTCCCGCTAAGCTATTCCGCTATATAATGTTCCAGAAGGTACACAAGCCTTGAAATCTGAATCATAACTCGCAACATTATAACGGCGGGAAAGGCGCGGGAAGAATAACCTTGAGCTAATTTACTAAAGTAATAATGGTGTAGATATGCGAGCACTCTAATCTACATTTTAATTCGTCACAGATTATTAATGTGGATATGCGTGCAAGTTAATCTACATTATTATTATGATGTGCTACCTGTTTATTTGTGGAGAATAAACAAAGCATGAAATATGTAATTTTACACACACTTCACAATTAGATCATTAGATGTAATTATCAAACATACTTCAACTGTAAGCAGCAATTATGTTATATAGACACTCGACTGGAAACCTCATGATGTTTACCTTGGAATGGGTTGTGAGGTGGGCACCACAGGCATGAACTTTGGGCAGTTGGCCATCTGTTCTTGAACCTTTGTGCAAGATGAAATGTGTGACCGCATTTTTACAAGGGTGACCTGTGATAAAAATAAAAAAAAAGACAAAAAAGTAAAGGCAAAGTAAGTAACATTTACTGTGATAACGTATTGATTCAGTCATTTACAATGGAAATTTAACCCTTGCTGTTTATGATTTTACAGTTGAAACAAAATTATTAGCCATCCTCTGAAATTTACCATGATGCTAATTTTATTTGCAAGATACTAGTATCCAGATTTAATTAGGTTATTGTCTAGGTTAATTGGGCTAACTATGCAAGTTAAGTAAACAATAGTGATTTGTTTTAAAGCCTATTGAAAAAAAAAAAAAAAAAAAAAAACTTTTAGGAGGTACAAATCTTATTGCATGTTGACCTTAAAATGTATAAATCCTCGCATTGTTAGCTATACAATTGGTCATGCTGGTAACCAGGCAGCTCTTTAAATAGTGGAAAAAAACCCTTTGCACCTTGTTTTGTTTGCAAAACCTTTGCTTTGTTTCTTAATAATTTAATATAAATATATATTTTTAAAGTTGTTATCAGGCCTCGACAATAAGGACTGCCCGATGGCCCGGGGCCAGTGTGTAAGTCGCTCGGGTTAGAAGACAGAATCATTACTAGTCCGATCGGCCAGCCTTGTCACTAAAGTTTAATTTGGCTACGATTGTTGGTCAATTGCATGCAAATACAGTCTTGGGGTGCTATTACACCTAGATGTCCTTTCCCAGTTTGTGCGGTTCATTTGGCATATGTGAATCCTGCAATAGCGCTCGGATCTGCGCCAAATCAATTGGTCCTAGATCTGCCTGAATAGGTGGTCTCGCCTCAATTGAAACAAACTATGGAGTTTCTAAGGTTTGTGGGTGTCAAAATTAACGTGCGCATTTCGTTTATTCATCCATCCAAATATAATGTTTGGCTTTTGACACATAAGAAATAGCTATTAACTACTTGGTGGGGCCAGTGAAAAAATACTAAATGTTGAACCCTGTATATGTATATTTATATATTTATATTATAATTAAACAATTTTCTATTAATGGTTTACACTAGGGCTATTCAATTGGTGGGCCGCAGGCCGAACCCAGCCCCTGAGGCAATTTGTTACAGCCCTTTAAAAAGGGGTGACCACCAAAAATAAATTTAGTTTAGACGAAAAAGGGCCGCTATAGATATGAAATAACATGCATCAATTTCAATACAGCGTTAGCTGCAGTTGAAGGCTGCACAGAGAGTGACTCAAGTGACATTAAGCGAGTGAGTGACGCGAGCAGTTGAAAACATTTGGATATTGTAATGAAGTTTACGGCCCTTTCTTCACCGAGAAGAAGGAGGCGGAGAACCGACGCAGGTTTAAAATGATTTATTAATAACAGGGACGGCAGCTCCTCACGGAGACTGCCGTCTAAACCAAAACAAACGGACGGCAGCTCCTCACGGAGACTGCTGTCAAACTGAAAGCAAAAGTAAAATATGTCCGGGCCCGGTCCTCTCTCGGCTTCCTCTGCCATCATTCCCTCCTTTTATCGTCCAGAGCTCCTTCCGTGGGATGCGAAGCAGGTGCGCACCGCAGGTGTATCCACTTACGCGGTGGCCTCACTCCGTTCCCACGGCTCTCGGCCACGCTCCCTCGCCATAGATATGTTTGTGGAAAAGGCCTTTTGTAGAATGCCGATATCGTTAATAAGGATGTAATGATTAGCCAATTTCACTATTTACCGCACTTTAATTTATAATGGGTAATTAACCGTAAAGGCTTCTCAACGCAGCATCTCTGTTGCATGGAATTAAACAACTGCTACTTAACAAGGTAATGCCAACTATGGGCTAATAAGCACGGACACTGGAGTACTATAGCAGCAGATCGTTCACATATTGCGCCTTTTCCGCACGCAAGTTCATTATTTCCAATGGAGACGTGTGCATATTGGGTGCAATTTGCGCATGGCTCACAAGCAGACTGACGCAACCGCGCCCTCCAGGAGCGCTACAGAGCCCTACATCTCACGGTGTCATGTTGAGAGTTGTGCGTGGCTTTCAATGCAATGTAAACAAAACATATGTTCGACGGATTATTAAAAATTATTAAAATGATTATGTATGCATGAATGCATGTGGCGCAATAAGTAGTGCTGTCGCCTCACAGCAAAAACGTCACTAGTTAAAGCCTCTGCTGGGTCAGTTTGCGTTTCTGTGTGGAGTTGCATGTTCTCTCCGCGTTCACGAGGGTTTCTTCTGGGTGCTCCGGTTTCCCCCACAGTCCAAAGACATGTGGTATAGGTGAATTGGGTAGGCTAAATTGTCCGTAGTTTATGAGTATGAATGAGTGTGTATGGATGTTTCCCATAGATGAGTTGTAGCAGGAAGGGCATCCGCTGCGTAAAACATATACTGAATAAGTGGGCGGTTCATTCCGCTGTGGGAACCCTGGAATAATAAAGGGACTAAGCTGAAAATGAATGAATGAACGAATTAATGAATGAATGCATTAGCACAAATGATAACAACAGTTCACTTAAATACTAACCTAATTTATAGCTTAAATTAATATTAGTAAAGTAGTATTTTTATTTATTCTTATTTTAATTTATTTATTCATTGTTCTGTCATTTATTTTCATTGTAAAAAATGATCACTTATGCTTAAATCAAAAACTTTTAAAACCCTTTTTAAGTCCAAAAAAATAGGTATGGACTATTGTTTTTTTTTTATTATTAATTACTTGCGCTGTATTATTTGGTTACTGAGCAGTAATAAACAACACTTTAAAATACAAGCAGTTTTCTTGTGATTTTAGAAACTAGTAATGTTTTGAATTTAATAAATGCATAATAATCATGATAACAGTGAAACCATGATTATTCTTCAGACTGTCGTACAATCAAAAACTATAATCGTTGCATTCCTAACTTTTATGCAGTTCAGAACATATGAATGTGTTTGAATGTAGAAATAGCCTACCTGAGCAATACACTGTGCTTTGAAATACAACATTTGAATATGTTTGTAAAAAAGGCCACATTGTACAATGCAGTGATATTATGTAATTTCAAAATAAAATATATTAATGTTTTAATGTAGAAAAAGCCAACGTGGTTGTCTTAAGGAGCAAAAATACTGCATATGGGCTCTTATATTGCTGTTTTGTCATCACTTATATTGCAAGTCATATCTCTCCGGCCCCTCAATTGGAATGTTTTTCATGAACTGGCCACCCCATGACAAACTAATTGAATAGCCCTGGTTTACACCACAGCCAATGCCTTGTTACAGTATGAATGTGGGAAACTATTAAGAAACAACAATTAAAAAGTGGCTTGTTTTGAAGCCAATTGAAAAATATAATCAGATTTAAAGTGACCTTATAGTAATTATATAAAAAAGTAAAACTAATTTTATTCCAGAAAAATTAAAAAGAAATAAGTCTTTCTTCAGAAGAAAAATATAATTAGAAAAATTTTTGAAATTCCTTTGCTCTGGTTAACACCACCTGGGAAATTCTGGAAAAAGAATTAAAATTTTACAGGATGGTTAATAACTTTGCCCTTATCTATAAATGAGGCAGTTTCGTCAACAGTATTATTAAGTCAATGTAAATGTAACACCAACAGTGAACAAAATAAATCAATTACAATTGAAGACATTAAAAGCTTTAATCGCCTCTCTTAAGCTTACTGTGACTATATTTGCTGGCCTGTGTCTACTTCACTTTAACTTTTATTTACCAATAAACCACCACATCGGTTTTGAAAGGCTCCTGCGGGAGTGATAGTGTCTCATGCTTTAGCGTCCCTGAATCAAGTTTTACTGTAAATGTCTTATATAATGGCACACTCTGCACTGTTCACAGGAATATGCCCTGTGGTACTAAGCCCAGACTATATTTGTTTGTGCACTGGGACTAACCTTTTTGCTGCACCCTCTGCATGGTGCTTTATATGAAGAAAGCTGCTTCTCCACGCTAGAGGATTTGTCCACTTTCTTTGGATCAAAAGGCATGCGACAGAGGGGACAAAGAGGTGACGTCACCTGCAGACATGGCTGTAGACAGTCACCACAAAACCTGAGAATACACACAGACACAAAAAAATTACAAACGTAGCATAAAATCTCAATATTTTTATATCAAAGCTCACTATACTATTTTTTATGATAATGTAAATAAATGACCAAACCAGAAAGTAATTTTTCAGAGCATTTTTCCACAGTATTTCCTAGAAAATAAATAATTTAAGGTCAATATAATTAGCCCCATTAATCTTTTTTTTCCTCAATTGTCTACAATAAAAAAAAAAACATTGTTGAACAATGACTTGCCTAATTACCCTAATAAGCCTAATTAACCTAGTTAAGCCTTTAAATCACTTTAAGCTGGATTCTAGTATCTTGAAAAATATCTAGTAAAATATTATTTACTGTCATCATGACAAAGATAAATCAAAGAAATGAGTTATTAAAACTATTATATTTAGAAATGTGTTGAAACAATCTTTCAGTTAAACAGAAATTGGGGAAAAATATATTCATGGGGGCTAATAATTAAGGAGGGCTTATAATTCTGACTTTAACATTATATAAATAAAAGTCACTTTGTTAAACTCCAGGGTTAAATATTCAGTAGCTACGTTTCTATCCAAAGATGCAAAACAGATTTTAGATTTTAGTCAGTTAAATGTCTGTTAAAGAAGCATATCAACGGATACAGAAAGTCAACTAATACTTAAATGGACCGTCAAAATAAAGTGTTACCAATCTGTTTGTTTAAATTCAACCAATATAGATTAAATTGTTTGCAACAATTTTGCAGAAATCCTTTTTATCGGTGTACATTGCATTGTGTAAATTAAAATTAGGAGATACAAATGTTGTTTAATGTTGACTTTAAATTGTATAAATGTTCCCACTGTTCCAGTTCTGTGTCTTAACCAGTTAAAACTCCGCAAACCTCCGACGTCATCGTCTTTTGCTTTAAGATTTAAAGGGCTAGCATTGCACCACACCCCCTTAAGTGGTTTTGTTTAGTGTAGAATCTATATTTTATGCACATATGCATCACTTTGTTTTTTATTCTACTGTACAAAAGTTAATTTTTGCATTTACACCTTTGCATGTGGATTTGGGAAGCTTTTAAATTTGGGTAGGCAAAATCTAGGCGGAAATCCCAAAATAACAGCAGAGTTTATATAAATATAATTTTAACTGCCCCATAATGATTTATACCATTGTCAATAAATGATTACACACAAGTAGGGACATGGGAAATCATTCAGTAAAAATAACTAAATGCAATCTTTTATGGTCATCTATATCTTGTGAAGGGAAGCAAACTTGCAAAACATTGCTCGCTAAAATTTGCCATTTTATTTCTAAAATAGGAAATCTTTGAAAAATCACCTGTCTGTTAAAACAGCCTATCAGAAGATATTTCAGAATCCATTAATTGTCCCTGAAACTCAGAATTTATTCAAGTTTGATTAATAAATGAAATGTAATTGAATTAAATAGATGAATTTGGTTACCTGAAGCATGCATATGTTGTACACAAACTGCAAAAAAATCTATAAGATATCTACAAGGTATTCCTTTGACAAGATAAAAAAGCAAATAATGAATTATCACCTGCGCACCCTTGAGCAACAGCACTTAGCTACAAGTTCCTCAAGAAGGACCAGCTCCTATAAAGTGTCCCATAACAAGTGGCAGTTGATGAAAGTGTCTGCTAAATATTTTCAAACTGAGTAAGCCTCTGAGGAGGGCAGCAATTTTGAACCACTGAACTCTGGCTTGCATTCAATGGGCTTGTGTATAGCTGAACAAATGCTGATGAATTAGGTTATCGGGCATTTGGCCATCACTTTTCAAACTAGCATGACTCAGCACGGTATCCCGATACATTACTGCATCAGCAAAAAAAAAAAAAAGCCTAGTGAACTTGTGGTGGCAACTTTGTCACTTTCTGACTGATGAGGCAAGAGTTTATGGGACTGTAATAGCAATAAATCATTTTGAGTTTTTTTTTCCGCCAGGCTTAAGCCATGTTTTATGGCACCATTGAATCCAGGGCCAGGGCCAAGCAAGAGGCTCTCCATCATGTCTACCCTGAAACACTGCACTGACTGATTCACAGGAGAAGTGGAGGAAAAGGTCAGTCGGTAAGATTCCAAAACATTTAAAGAGCCATGCCATGGTGTAATTATAGTCTTCCAACAGAGTTTAATTCAGCCTTTTTTAAACTAGAAAATTTAATAGCTCGTGTACACTTTGTGAAATGGTACGGTTCGATATGCTTTTATAGCCATTTCCACTGTCAAAGGGTACCTAAAAGCAAACCGTAACACTTTTTGGGTACCCTTTGCAAAGGGTACCTATGCAAAGGGTAACAAAATGACAAAAGGGTACCAAAAGGCGGACGTAGACGCGCAGCTGAACGCTATTGGTTTACAGAGATACGTCACTCACAGAAGCAGGAGAATGAAAACAAAGGAAGCGCCAAGTTTTAAACTGAGACATTACCAATCTAAACACAGTAATTGTCTTGATGGACAGCCACAAAGCCAAGAAGAACAAAATCTGCTGTGTTCTGTTGTTGTTTTACGAGCCATCTAAAACTGCGAGGGGTTTCAACTTCTTCAGCGAGCTCACCGCATGTCTATATTTGAAATAACAAACTTCTTAAGCTCATATTACTTTCTTTACTTTCTAACAGAGGTTACATGTGCTGGTGAAGATTAAAGAAACAAATGAGAGGTTTGCACTTGCTGTGAGCTATATGTTATGTGTTGTTTTTGAACCCAAAAAAAGGACTAAATGTATGCTGTGTGTAGTTTTTCTGTAATTGGTAACATATTGGAGACTAGAGGGACCCGACCAGATTTCTACGGCGCGGGTATAAATTTCCGAAAAAATCAAGGGAGCGGTCGGTAACGGGTTTAATTTGGGACGGGAGCGGGCTGTCTGGCAATATCGCTCCCGACTCCCGAGTGAGCACGCGTATGTATGTGTGTAAATGAAATAGCGCGATGCTGTGTTTAGCTTGTTTGTTGCAGTGTATGTGTGTATGTATGCGCACGCGCGAATGAGAGATATGTGTGTGTGTGTGTGTGTGTGTGTGTGTGTGTGTGTGTGTGTGTGTCTGTGTCTGTGTGTGCGAATGAGAGATAGAGAGCTTTGCCTGTGTTTGTGCTTAGTGCTTATGAGTGTGTGTTAGAGGGCGCGCGCGAATGAGAGAAAGCTTTGTCTGTGTGTGTGTTTATACAGACAGCTTGTTATAGGCTGTCTGGACTGTATAACTGGGTGATTTTCGGTTTTTTTCTCCCCCGCTCTTTAGCGGGATCAGGCGCGGCGGATAGAAAACGGGGCGGGTTGGGCAGCGGGACATCAAGTGCTTAATATAAGCGGGAGCGGTCGGGTTCCGGCTAAAACCTCGCGGGTGCGGGCGGGAGCGGGATTCAAAATTTAGTCCCGCGCAGATCTCTATTGGAGACTGTAAACGGCTGTATGTGTTAATATATGTTGCACTTATTTTTATATTTATTTGATATAATCGCAGACATTACGATAGGCTATTATTTCGCATCATTGATCTGCAGTTATAATCAAATCATGTTTATGTAAAACCTCTGTGAGTAGTGCTTCTCATATGATATGTGAACTAACTGTACAGCTTTATAGCTGTATTTTCTCTAGTAAAAATGACATCATCTGAAACTTAATATAAACGTGCACACCATCCAACAAAACGGTACCATTAGTACCCTTTTGGCAGTGCAAATGCAAGCCTGATAAAGGTGACCCATACCGACATGCACTGTACCGTACTGTAACACTCAGTGGAAATGGGCCATAAAAGGACTAAAAATTTAATTATGTATGTAGATTAAATGTGAAACATTTCAATATTTTCCAAAAAGAAACCCCAACTGAAGATTAGGAAAAACCATTACAGTAATGAACAGTTTACATTGATCCATGGAGGATATAATATGGAGAGGTCCGGAAACAACATGTTGTGTTGAACATGTTCACAAAACAACATGTTGTGTGAAGTAGGGTCACTACTAAATTCTGGGAAATGTGTCTTTAAGAGACTGATGTTTGTTGTTTGCTGGTAAAGAACCTTATGTTTGTTTTATAACAGATGTTTTTTTTAAAGTTTAGAAACATATAACATTTCTATAGAAATTTAGAAAGAAAAAGAGATCTGCTTTTTAGCTGATAATGAACGCAATGTATGGACCTCTTCTATATGGATCTCTCTGACTATGGTACTGCCGTTACAGTTTTTTTTTTTGGCAATGTTATAAACAGTTTAGTTGTACAAACCAACATTGCAGTAGTGACCGACGATGGCATCTGCTGTAGTTATTCCAATTGTTTTATTTTTTGGTATTTATCTTCAGGAAATCACCGAAGGTAAATATATCATGTTATCATAATGATATAATGTGGAAATAATCTCATAACTGTAGTGTGTATTTACACCATGGCCATGTTCATCAATGTTAACACAAGAAATTATTTATAATTTCCAATATGCACACGTCTCCTATTATTTAGAAATTAATAAGAATCTGGTATAATTAGATTTACACCAGATACTGTGAAAAGGTAATTCCCAGCCATTAGACTTTTCTAACAGGGTATTCGAGTGTCATCAAGTGTCAGATGTGAAAAAATGTTGTGGGACTACTATACAGAAGTTATACAGAAATTCAGTATTTTTTTAAGCATGAATTTTCATAACCCTTGGTTTTAAAATCTGTTTCAAGAGCTATAATCCTTTCACTTAGACCTACACCTTCAAGCTAAAGAAAAGTGGGACACCATTACCCCTTCACGTGAACATGCAAAATGAGAGGAAAGGTTAAGCAGAAGGGGTAAAATTGAGATTGGGTCTAAAAACGTACAAGGTACTAGAAATGGAAGGGAGTGGAACTGAATTGCATCATTGAATGGGGAGCAAAAGAACCTTTAGTGCTAGGTGGACAAATTATTTTCAGCAAGCGCATCAATTTGAAATCAACTGTGTGAGTGTGTGTGTGTAAATAGAGTGTTAACTATGAA